CCCCCCAACTATTCAAATATAGCATATGAAGATAATCCAAATCAGCACCAAGTACTATTTTGTCACCTACAGTTCACAGGCATCCTTCATAACCCAGAAGATACCGTAGTCTTTTCAAATGGCACTTGGTGTGTTCTGTAACTTAGGTGATGCTCCTCCAAAAAAAGGTGTTATATTAAACATAATCCTCTTATAAATAGTTCAATTTTGGGGAAAAAAAATATATAGAGAAGTCATACAAAAATAGTGCCTACCTTTTTATATGTTTTCTACATTAACATTACTTATCTTGTTTGAACATATGACATTTCCCCTTATCTAATTTGCATGTTTCAACGGTTTTGAATCAGCCAATCATAGCTTGCCTTTACGTTCAATTTAGAACCTCCTGCTTCTTTGACTAATGCATTCACTAATTTCTTTTTTACTCTTTTTTTTTTGTGAGAAAATTGTTGTCCATGAATTTAATGCACAGTACACTTGTAATGTTTTGTTGGCCTAATAATGTGATTAGAGGAAATTCAACATTCATGTATGCTTTTTTTTTTTTTGTTGAATCTAAAGCCAATTAAAAAAGATTTATCATCAACATAAAAACTTTGAAATATTACACCCTTTTAATTACTTTAGCAACCATAAAGCAAATACCCAAATACATATCTTCATATGATTGAAACCAATCTCAAACCACCAACAACCAAACCTTCAAATCATTCCTACAAACCCAAGAAATAGTGTATTATATTAGAGATTTTTCTTATCTATTATGTAATACTTGAATTTAATCATAGAGTTTAAACCATATAATGTATTATACAAGAGATTTTTCTTAACCATCAACAACCAAACTTTCACTATGTATTTGCATGTGCACGTGAAAGACAGTAAAAAATCATAACCAAACCAAACCAAACTAAGCCTTAAGTTCCATTAAATGGGGTCGACAGAGTAAAAAAAATCATAACTCATAAAAATTAAAATGCTGCATAAATTGTGAAAATGAAATCCAAGAAAACAATAAAAAATAAAATGAAACGTATCAATATAAAATAGTTCAATTTTAGGAAAAGATATACAGGAAAAGTCATATACAAATAATTCAATTATGTGTACCTACACTAAATTGTGTAGTGCCTTTTTATGTTAATATAGATAACTCTTTATATAATATATTTAACTTTTTATTTTTTTTCGTGGTACTTCAATTTAGTTAATTATCAATGGATAAGAGTTGGATGAAGAAGAATAGATTGTTAAGAGATTCTATGCAAGGGATTAAAGAATTTTTGGAGTTTGCTTCTCACAATGTATCTAATGATGGAACAAGTCCATGTCCATGTATGAGATGTGTGAATTCATACATGTTGATCCTAGAAGTTGTACATGATCACTTGGTATCTTATGGAATTAGTTCGGGTTATAATTGTTGGTATCATCACGGGGAAATTATGTCTGCAACGACTTCTAGTAGAACTAGTCAAAGCCATGTTGAAGAAATATGACCTGAGTATGGTGATATATGTGACATGTTGCGAGATGTGTTTCCCATGCACACCCATAATATGGATGAATATGCAGAAGAAAGTAATTTACCAGAACCATCTGATCAAGGTCCAAGCGTGCAACGACCTCAAGAAGATCCTAATGAAGATGCACAAAAATTTTACGACTTACTGAAAGATGTTGAGAAGCCTTTGTATAAAGAGTGAAAGAATTTTAGCAAGTTGTCAGCAATTGTGCATCTGTATCACTTGAAATGTCTTAATGGATGGAGCAACCACTCATTTATAATGTTGCTTCAAATTTTGAAAGATATGCTTTCTTCAGATGCAAATTTGCCGAAAGCCTCTTATGATGCCAATAAGATTATTAAGGATTTGGGTCTCGGTTATTAAAAGATTCATGCTTGTCCTAATGATTGTATGTTATTTTGGAAGGAACATGCAAATGATGAAGTGTGTCATTGTGGTGCTTCAAGGCGAGCAACAAATGAGAATGATTTGCAGCATAATATAAGTACTTCATCTAAAAAGAGAAAGAAATAGACTGTAAAGGTTTTACGGTGGTTTCCCTTGAAACCACGATTGTAGAGGTTGTTCAGGTCTTCAAAAACAGCTGCTTCTATGAAATGGCATGCTGAAGGTTGTACAAATGATGGCATAATGAGGCATCTTGTCGATTCTATGGCTTGGAAAACATTTGACTCTTGATATGTAGATTTTTCCTTTGACTCCCGCAATGTCAGGTTGGGGTTGGCAGCAGATGGATTTAACCCTTATGGGAATACAAGTACTAGTTATAGTATATGGCCGGTCATATTGGTCCTATATAATTTGCCTCCATAGATGTGCATGAAAAGATCTTCTTTCATCCTATCATTGCTTATTCCTGGTCCAAGCTCCCCTTAGAATGACATACGTCTTGACTTACAAGAGATGGGTATAAGCCGTGAACTTCACCCACAAAAGATCAGTTCCAAGAAGACATATTTGTCTCCAACTTGCTTCTCAATGATTTTAAAAGAGAAAGATGACTTCTTGAAAGTTTTGAAAGGGGTAAAAGTCCCAGATGGTTATGCTTCAAGTATTTCACGTTGTATCCAACTTAAACAGCGTAAGATTATAGGTTTGAAGAGTCATGATGGTCATATTTTGATGCAGCAGCTTCTTCCTATCGCATTATGAGGAGCATTACCAAAAAAAGTCGCTTCACCTCTAATTGAGTTGTCTTGTTTCTTTAGGGAAATATGTTCTAAAGTCTTGCAAGTGGAAGAGCTTGACCGACTTGCATCTCGAATTGTACTGACTTTTTGCAATTTGGAGAGAATCTACCCTCCCACATTTTTTACTATTATAGTGCATTTAGTTGTTCATTTGGCCACTGAGGCTAAAATTGCTGGCCCAGTTCACTATAGATGGATGTATCACATTGAGAGGTTAGGTGTGACGACTTGTATCCATTTTTGTTTTTAACCTAATCCCAATTTAGTTGATTTATAACTATACTGTTGTTGAAGGATACATAGCTGAAGAGTGCGTAATATTTTGTTCGCGATATTTGGAATCTATTGAAACCGTATTCAATCGACCCTTAAGAAATGTTGAACATTCCACAAGGGCAATGATGAATATCGAACTTGATCAAAAGTCATGGATACAAGCAAATCGTTATGTGCTATTTAACAATGATGAAATTCAGCCATATCAGATGTAAGCAATATTTATGAGTTATGGTATATAAATAAGTTTGAGTTTCCCATTTTAATCCTTGCAATAGTAACACAAGTTAGGTTTGTATATACAGAGAACACAAGAAGCATATAAAGAGACAAAGTCGTTCGCGTTGTCAAACGATATGTTGTTAAGGGTTTTAAGTTCCGAATTAAAAATTACGAGTAGGTGAAGAAAAATCAGAATAGTGGGGTTTGTGTGGCCACTGAAGGAGGCACCATGTATTATGGTGTTTTATTTGATATCATTGAGCTAAATTATTTTGACAAGTTGAAATATGTACTATTCAAATGCAATTGGGCTGATATGAACACAAGCAGAGGCCACAAGATAGATGAATATGGTTTTAACCTTGTAAAATTTTCACATTTGATGCATACTGGAGAACGGTTAAATGATGAACCATTTGTCTTGTCATCTCGAGCTTCATAGGTTTATTATGTGGGAGATGTAAGGCATGAAAATTGGTTGGTTGTTGTTAAAACAAAAGCGAGGGATGTGTTTGATGTTGGTACTAGTGAATTGTGTGATGGTGATGTTGACACTTACTATGATAATGAGCTGTATAATATGATAGTTGAAGACACTCATGTGGATGCGAATAAAAACCTCAATTGGGCTAGAAATGATATAGATGGAACAACAATCAATATACCACTTCCACTTGATAACCAACAGATCGATAAAGATAATTTAGATGAGGATGTCTAGTTGTTGAGTTCAACTAGTTTGATTTTAATTTATTTATTCTCATGTTAATCTTTGAAACATTATTTGGTTTTGAATATAAATTTCAAATTTCTTAGTTTCATATATGTATGGCAACCCATGTTTTGCATTTTGTTTTTCTTTTTTGTTTTGGATTTTTGTTCTGCTTTGAGGAAAAACTAGTTTCTAATGTCTATTTACATAAGCAACAGTTTTAGCCTCAGGGACTCTTAAATAAGCATTTGAATGAAAATATGAAATTAAACTGTGTTTAAACTCAACCATTTATTAGTTGGTGCAAAAAGTGATTGCAAAAAGTGATAGCAAATATGAATCACAAAGATTCCTATTTGCAATAACCCTGTTTAGAGATCTTATATTCCACTTGTCTTTATAATTCTTCTCTGTCTCGTGTGTGAATGAGTTGAGCACACATTTTCAATGATAAGCTTCATTTTCTCCATCTTGATAGTGCTATATTGATCTTTTATGCATTATAGATATTTGCTTGTCTTTCTTGTTATAGAATTCTGTGTGTGAATAAGAGTTGCATCATACCCTTCTAACCATGAAACAAAATGACCAAATCAAGAGAGTTCGTATAGGTTTACATCCCACTCTTCTATACCATCAACCAACAAATAACAAAAAAAGGAAAAACAGAGGTCTTAATCACATATCCCTTGTGGATGCAGGCGTAAGCCAAACCATGTAAATTATTTGTTTTCTTCTTTATGATTGTGTTTGCATCAATTTGCTACTTTTTATCCGATCTCAAATTTGTGTGGGTTTGTCAGGACACTTGTCTAGTTGCCATTGAAGTATACTGTATGGGTTATTAATGAAGACATCTATATTTCTTCTAATAGATAATTGATGTTTTTATTATTATTATTATTATTATTATTATTATTATTATTATTATTATTATTATTATTATTTTTATTTTTATTTTAATGTTTGTTGTTAAATATAGCTATTAAAAACTTGGACTAGAAAATCAGCATCTTGACAATATTGTTTTTATGCTCTCTGGTTTTAACTTTTAGTTTGTGAATGTAGGTATATCATATCTTGAGAAGAAAGAAGTCCGCACCCGTCTAAGAGAGGTGAGTATAGTCATGTATGTCCACACCTGTCTGAATGTAGTAGTATTATTGTGTCATGTTATGTTATTGTATTAGGAAGGGGAGCTAAGTCTAGCCCTGTTTGGTTGATTTCACTGGAATCTAGCCAATTGGCTATAGGTGATTTGATGTGTTTTGTGATCTGTGGTGTGTAATCTATCTACTGATGGTTGTACGTGATCTGTTATGGAGGTTGCTATTTTTTTATGCTGCTTTTGTCACTGCTGGTGTGTTTGGTGGCTGATTTTGTTGCTGTTGTTTGTTGGGGCAGTGATCTATGGAGCTTTAGGATGTACAATTGAATCAAATTATTAAGCTTTTATTTTGTTAATTTTTCCCTTTACATGACACTTCCTATGGTAACTATTGATGGTTCTGTTATTGTTCTGGAGTTTGGGATATTTAAGATCTATATGCTTTGAATGTTGATATTTGTAACTGACTCCAATTACATACCCGGCCCTAGTTGAGAACCAATGAACTTACAATCATTTTGCCCTTACATAAATACAATAGTGCAGCAAAAGACAACACATCCCATATTTTCCTGTCCAAGATTCTAAATTTATACCCAATCTACCATTGTAACAGATCTGTTCCTCTTCCTATGCATTGTGTACAGAAATCTCCTTAGAAGTAGACAAGGAAAATAATCTTGTGAGGTGTATATGAGCTTTTCCTATGGTTTATGTTCTTTAATATCTTTAGATACTATGATAAATGCTCATTTAATTGATTAATATCTTTGTGTTTGATTAATTACATCTATTGTTTATCTAGCAGATATGGCAAAGAAACGATTTAGAATTTGCAATCTTGAGAATGAGTCCCAGAACAAGCGATCAAATGGCTCTTCATAGCCTAGCCAGCCAAATAACTCTTCATAGCCTAGCTAGCCAAATAACTCTTCACAACTGAACGCACCAAGTGAAACTTCACAACCTAGTCACTAAATTAGCTCTCCACAGCTAGACTGGCCAAATAGAACTTCACAACTTAGTCGATCAAATGCCTCTTTACAGCTTAATCGGCCAAATGGAACTTCATAGCCTAGTCGATCAAATGGCTCTTCACAACCTAGTTGGTTACATCCTTCCTCACATGCTCCATCACATGTTCCACATCCTTAACCTCAAGAATCAGAGGTTAACCCTCAGTTTGAAGATGATTTAGATGAGGACTGACTAAGGGAAGAAGAAATGCAACGTACAGGTATTATTAGATTTGTAGTTGAGGTACAAATTACAAGTTAACCTTCACTTCCATGATATATTTCGTTGCTGTATTGTAATAGATAAATTGGCCAAGCGAAACACGTGGGGAATTACACGTATGGTTGAAGTGTGGAATTTGACTCCAGAAGAATGCATTGTGCTCACCTTCAACACGGATTTGTAGGCTGTTTCTACAGAGGGTGGTATATTCAGTCGCTTCCTAGGCACCATTGCTAGAAAGCCACACTTATGCCCAATTAAGTACAAGAATTGGCATGAAGTGCTAGATCAGTATAAAGAAGATTGTTGGAATATTATCGAGGTAATTTTTTAACTACAAGTATTTTGCGATAATTCTACTATAAGAGAGATCATATGCATGTGAAAAAGACAATCTTCCATGCTATTATAGTTGAAGTAAAAATAAAAATATGAGAATTAGGCAAAGAAATGCACAAATTTAGTTTATATTATTGTATTGATAATTTTAAGAATGTTCATAACATGAAAAAACATACAATTGTAGTCCAAGTTTGCCATTCCTCAAGATGAGAGAAGGGATATGATTAGGCATTGAACATTGAAGTCAATGGGAGAGAAATGGAGGAATTGGAAATGTAGTTTAAAAGCAAAGTACTATGATGACACAAAGACAGTTGCACAGATAGTAGCTACTGCGCCTTTAACAGTTAATCGTGCGCACTATGCTGACCTTGTTGCGTATTGGTTTTCAAAGGAAGGACCGGTATGCATAGATGTATGTTTTCTATCAAATAATACAATGTCGTTATATCATTTTTTTAAAACATATTGTTATGCATTTATGAGTGAAGGAACTTAGTACAACCAATAAGGAAAGTCGACGAGAGCAAACAAGTGCACACACAACAGGATCTAAAACTTATGCACAACATGCATATGATATGGTATTTCAAACTTCATTCCTTGTTTTATAGTTTGAATTTGGTTAGCACATTGTATTATGAATTTATTCTCAAACAATATGATTGTTACATAGGAGCAAAAAGATAAGATTGCACTAGATCGAGCAAAATTATATATACTGCTTCACAAAAGAAAGGATGGGACACCAGTCAATGAAACAGCAGCTACAAAAATTGTATGCCCATTTAATAAGTTACATTTTCAAAATTCTAATGTGTTTGTGGTAAATAATCACTCTCACTCTTTGTCTTCTTATTTTTTTCCCCCCATTTATGCTATAGGAAAAACTAGAAGCTTTGATGAGCTCAAAACCAAGTAGCTTCAAAGGAAATGCTAGTGGACATATATCTTGGTCACCAAATGATATTTATTCTCAAGTGATGGGTAAAGAGCATCATGGTTGTGTTCGAGGTTTAGGATTTGGGCCCACTCTTTCCAAGCATGGCTTCATGTGTAATAGTTTTGACCATTTAAGAATGGTTTTTGATGAAGAGAGAATGAGAGACAAAGACACTATAATTGAGTTGAAGGAACAACTAAAAACTCAAGATGATCAGTTGCAAACTCAAGATATTTAGTTGCAAGCTCAAGATGCTGTAATAAACTCTTTGAAAGAGCAAGTAACATTTTTGATGAGACAACGACAGAGTTCTACTGGTTTGCAGGTATAACTACATATAACATATTCTTTTATATGATGTATTTATCATAAGTTATCCTTTTCTAAATTTATGCATACTTATGTAAATTTTATTGTATAAATTAGGCGACAGATGTATCTAGTGGCATTCTAAAAAAGGCTTCTCCACAAACACATCAAAGATTCTCTTTTGGGAGTCATGAAATGCGACCTTCTAATCGGGGTAAGTCATCATTACAATACACATATATTGACACAAATTTAGAGCCATTGTTAATGACTTCTTTACCAATAAATTGTTAGTTAGTTTGGACAAAATTGGGATTTGATAGGTTGACTTCTCTACTTTGCTTCCTTTATTGGCATCCGTAAAAATACCAAACAAACCAGTGAAATAGAAAATTGGGCAATCGAACAAATTTGAATATCAGTAACGTATCAAACTGTAATATACAATTAAAAATAGACCCTTGGATGCTGCTATTGGTTGTTTGATTTGGTGGCTACTACTAATGTTTGGCTTTATTGGTTGATTCAATCAAATGCCAACCTGTTAGTTGCTTGCTTACATGTTCTAAGCCCTTTAGATGTCTTCAAGAATATCTAATCTTAGAGATCAACTTGCAATGCTTAAAGAACAACACCAAGAACTAATGCAGAGTTTTTTTTTGTTGGGTTTAAAAGAAAACAGAAAACAGAGGAAGAAAACAGAGAGGGGTGGGTTTCATCATAATGCATAATTTTTTTTTGCTAGTATGGAGTGGGTTTCTTTGCTACCTATGTTTGTTTGGCTTTTGTGATGCTTTATGGAAGCTTAGGTGTTGTTGGGTTTGGTGTGTTTAGATGAACTTGGAATATATGGAGCGATAAAGGGGGTGTGCAATTTCTTTGTATCTTTTTTATTTCCTTCCTTTTGTTGCGGTTGGTATCTCTTGCCAACCCTTTTGTTTCTCTTGATTGAGCTTGCAAATGATTTTGCAGTCCTCCTTGTGCCAACCTAGCTGGGATAAGTTAGGTTCGCTATCATGCAATCTCGCTTTTCCTTGTTGGTTGTTGTATTTCTCCTTTTTCTTTAATAAAGAGTGCTCTACTTGGATGATAAAAAATAATATGCAAATATGATCTTCAACTTCGTTGTAATCTTTATTTTTTGATATGTAAACCACATGCTTACCAAAAAAAAAAATAAGACTTGTCGAGAATTATTTGTAGTCTAAATTTTCTTTATAGATTTTAAAATTGAAAATGATACTTATGCTCATTCAATTATTTTTATTGCGGGAAATAAAACAATATGAAAACATCAAACAATGGACGTCATTTCTCAATTTCAACATTTTTCATGGAGGTCTTTATAAAATGGTGTCATGAGTAATACTCTTTATATACTATTGTCATGTGACAAGTTTATTTTTGGATTATGGTGTGGGCTATTAGTTTGCTAGAAACATTGGATTTTTTTTTTGTATTACAGGCTTATGTAATGAACCTTTTAACTAAGGTGTTTCGGATATTTTGGGATTATGAAAATGCAGACTCTTTTACCTTTTACAATTATTGAGTATTGAGCCATTAGAATAAAATAGTGTTTTTATAGAATAATTTCAGTAATATTATAAATTCGTAGACAACCATTAATGGTTAGCAAATCATTGAAAATTTCAAACTATATATTATTGGTAATTGAATAATAAACATGGCCTACAATTTCCTGCTGGTGTTGCTGTTGGTGCATGCTTTTGGCAAGTTGTTGGCTTTTTTGTTGGCTGCTGCTGTTTGCTTTGATGCCTGGTGTCATTGCTGATGGTGTAGGGTGCTGTGGCTGGTGCTTACTGCCAACAGTTTGCCCATGGTTTGCTGTTGTCTGCTGTCTTAGGGGCTATGGTGTCTGTTTTGATTATTTTGTAATCAAATTTTCTATGTAATATGGCCTTGTGGGTTTTGTTTCTAGTTCCTTTTGTTGTTTGGATCTTTTCAGTGTAACCAGGTTATGTTGCTCTTAGTTTTTTTTTTTTTGTCTTGTTTGCCTTGTTCTTGCTCTCATTTGCTCTTTGCTTATGTGGTGTGTGAACAGTGTGAACAAGATGGTTTTCGCTGTCTAAATTGTCTTTTTTTGTGTTTTGGTTTGTGTGCCTTTGTATAGTTGGTTAACTCCTGGGGTATAGCCCTTGTATCTTGTAGTTTTTTGTCGTTTTATTTATGACTTTTTCCCCCAAAAAAAAAAAAAAAAGCCTACAACCGCGATTAATAACCGTTGCCGTAAATAAAATTAAAAAAAGAATTCTATTCCTATAGTGACAGTGTAAAACTGATGGAATAGAGTCAAAACATATCAGCGGTTTACAAAATGAAACAAAAGTGAAGGATATAGCAGCAGTCGACCCGTCGCTATAAAGTTAGCTAGTAATTGGTAAATTTAAAACATAGCAACATTTATAACTATCACTACATCGACCGTCGCAATAAAAATAACTATACTAGCGTTTGCAGAAAACGTCACTATAAGGATATGCCGACGGGGCTATTGCAACAGTTTGGCTGCCGCTATTGCAACTGCGGGTAAAGGTCTTCTAGTTTTTAGCGATGCTTTTTCTTGCTTTTAGCTGCAGTTTTGGCTGCTGCTAAATCTTGATTTTTTTGTAGTGATCCCTTTATTGCTTCTCTCTCTCTCTTTCTCGGTGCTAGCCACTATTATTCCTTATCTCCATCATTGGCTTTCTATTGAGGAAGTTTTCAGATTTAGACTTAGATCTGATTATTGACCGAGATCCGATACTATTAATGTTGGCTTGCTATCGATGAAGTTTTCAGATTTAGACTCAGATTTGATTATTGACCGAGATCCGATACTGTTAAACGCGCTTTTATACGCTAGGTGACCATAATGCTTTTATTTTGTAATAGAGGTAAAGATTAAAATACCACAATTACCAGTTGCGACAATAAACAGATCACGAAGATGATTAGTAATGTTTGTTTGGTGGTGATTGTTTTATTTTTATTTTTTATTTTTTTGTTATAATAATGTCTCTCTATGTAGAGGTTTCCTTCTTTCATGAAAGTTTTCTTCTCATTGTGTGGAGGTTTGTTTTTTCTCCCTATGTGGAGACTCAAATCTTCCCTACGTGGAGGTTCTCTTTATCCATTGTGAGATTTATTTTGCATTTTGATGTACTTTATTTGATGACTTGTTGTCAGACGTTCAATAATATTAAGTCCTGTATTTTTTCGTAAAAAAAATAAAAATAAAAAATAAGTACGAACAGCATGTAGATTTGTCTCAAGACCACCGCATAATTTTTTTGACCGGTGACTCAATGCTATGCTAGGTAGATAAACACTTTCAAGTGGTGTTATATTGAAGGAAAATTTTATTTATATATAAAATTTATGTAAAAATTATTGCAAAAATGAGGTGATAATGTAATTTTGATAAATAAATATCAGTTTTGTGGGTGTTTTGTTTTAAAGTGAATGTTCTATATTGAGTTACATCATTATGTATAAGAATTTTGTATTAATTTTTTATTTGTATATCATTACTCAATATAGAAAACAAATTTGTTCACACGTTATTGATGTGTGAATAAAACATATTTTCTGATTGGTGAAAAATGTGGATTATTTATATAAAAAAAGCTTATTGATTATGGATCCAACAATTTTTTACCAATTAAAAAATGTATTTTGCAAGTATATGAACAAAATTAAAATAGTATTATATTTGTCACACACTCAATCACAAAAAATTACTTCACTCACCACTAATAATAAACCTACATAGAGAGAGTGAATCATCCTTTTAAAATATATCTTATTACATATACATAGAGCTGTAAATGACAAGATTTAAAATGTAACTTACTACATATACTTAGAGCTGTAAATGACAAGATATATCACTTGATAATACTAACGACATGATTGGTTGTGTAGAATTTTTAAAAAAAATATTATATGTATTAATTGGTATATTAATTAGTGTACTCGCAGATGATATAATATAATTTTAAAGATTTTAAATTTTTATAATTTGTATAATAGGTGAAATTTATTTAAAATAACAATATCATAATATATATGAATACATTAATTAATATACTAATTAATACATGTATACCACTGAACTTTTTTTGTCCAACTCATTGCCCTCAAAGCATTTCCATTTTACTCATCATCGCACTAAGAGCATTTCCACTTTACCACTAGTTGATTTGTGCAATACACGGAATAATAAAATTTTATAATTTTTGTTTTTTCAGAATTTGACTTGTAATCAAATAAATTTTAAATTTTATTAATTTTAATTCTAATTGGTGAGTATTGATTTATCCCTCATCTATGAATCGATACAAATTAATCTCTTCAACTATAAAAATTATGCAAATACACTCATTTAAAAAAAGGAAAAAATTGTGAAAAGGCCATTCCAAAAGGAGTATAAGGTATTAGATTTAAGGTATAAAAAAAAATTGGTGATAAGGACACACTGGAAAAAGTCGACGTAAAAAATCGTTGATGTCAAAAAAGTCATTGGAAAATTGGTCCAAAAAGTCACCAGTGGCAGTGCTGAGATAGAGAAACGTGTGATATTCAATAAATAGGTTGTTGAATGAGTGACATGTGTCACATTTCAATAGATAATTAGTTTGGTAAATTTCAACAGATAGATAGATAGGTTGATTTTAATATATAGTTGTCATTTTGGCCCAAATAGATTAGAGCTTAGGCTTAATGAAGTACCCTTTTAAAAGTGATATGGAGGAAGTAAAAGTGATACATTTTCACATTTGAGAGAGTCAAAATGTATCGATTCATAGATGGGGAGAATAAATTAATATTTATTAAGTTGAGGGATTTTAGTATAATTAACACATCCCCAAACTATAGATGAGGCAAAACCCTAGGATCTAAAACATGGAAAAACGGAGAATGCTTCTTCTCTATGCCATTATTCTCCAAACTCTTTCGTAATATATTTTATGGACGTTATTATGCGTCTGCAATGATAATCCAAGTCA